CAAGGTAGGGGGTTTTGAAGGCGGTGGGCCCAGGAATGGGATAGAATAGCCCGTATGTACAATGTCCAGGACCCAGGCATCTGATGTTATCAGGGCCCATGCCTGGGCAAAACGGGATATCCAGGCCCCAATCGGGGGGCCAGGGTGGCAGACTGGTACAGGACTCTCGAATACCATGTCAAAACTGGGGCTTGCCCTGATTGGAAGGGCCGTGGGGACCTGCCCGCTGGGGATCTGACCTGGGGAGACGACGTCGACCCCTAGTTCCCTGAGGGTGCGCAGCCACCCCAGAACCTCCACCGGAGGCCCGGGAGCGGCGCCTCCAGAAATCCCCATGGGGGACCTGGGGTTGTGTGCTCCGAAAACAAGGCCTTCCCTTCAAAGGGCAAGTCCTGTATGGTATGCTGCACGTCCGAGGGAATCCCTGAGACGTGGAGCCACGCTCCACAGTGCATAACGACACCTGTCGCCATGGTGCGGGCTGCCGAGTCCACGGTGTCCAAAGCCACTTGGAGGGCAGTTCGAGTAATGACTTTACCCTCGGAAGCCATAGTTGCAAACTCCTGGTGGTCCTCCATCGGGAGTCGGTCTCTAAATTTTTCAACCACCTGCCAGGTGTTGAAAGTATACCTGCTCAGCATCCCCTGTTGGTTAGCGATACGGAGCTGCAGAGCACCCGTAGCGTAGTCCTTGCGGCCCAACAGGTCCAGCTTCTTAGGCTCCCTTGCCTTCGGTGAAGGCCCGGGCTGGGGAAGCCTTTCTTTTTGGGCCGCGGCCTGTACGACCAATGATCCCGAGATGGGCTGGGAGTAAAGAAATTCGTGACCCGATTGTGGGACGAAATAACGCCTTTCTACCCCTTTTTGGGTAGGAGTCAGAGTTGCTATCGTTTGCCACAGGGCATTAGTAATTTTTGAAACAGTTTTATTGAGCGGTAGAGCGAAGCGCGCAGGGGTGTCCTCAGTGAGGATGTCTACCATTGGATCGGTATCCTCCATTATGGGCTCAACCAGGACAGCCAGGTTGGAAGCCATGCGCCGCAGGAGGTCCTGATGTGCTCTGGCATCCATTGATGGTAGCCCAGGCGCTGGGTCTGCCAGTGCCTCATCGGGGGAGGATGACGATGACGACTCCTGAATCAACAGGGGAGCGGTCGTGACCAACTGCGGAACGGGTTGGACAGTCTGAGCTTCCGGAGGGCCTGTCTCCGGTACCGGTGGCTGCAGTGCCGCAGGATCTTGTTGAGGCAGTCGAAGGGGGGAGAGGGGCGCCCTAGACAGGGACGCAGAGGGGCGGGAACGGTGCCCTGAAGCCTCCGACCCCATAGATGGTGGTGGTTGTCCCTGCCACTGATGATAGGCCCAGGGAGTCCAAAAGGGCCACTGCGGATGAGGGGGCCACATCTGCTGGTTGTGGTCCCTCTGGTGCCTGGATCTGGATCTGTGGGTCGAAGAAGCTCCTGAAGACCCCAATCGCACCGACACCGCGTCCGAGTCCGAAGAGTAATCGGATTCCGGCCAAGGGGGAGCCGACGAGGAGTGCGGTGCAAACTTGGCCATCGACTCCGGTTTGCCCGCATGGGTGCGGTGAGGACATGCCGTCTGCAGTACCGGCGGACCCATGCCCAGTGCCATAAGGGCTGCTGATAGCTGCGGCACCAGGGGACCCAGACCCAGTGCGGCGAACTCCGCCGAGTGTGAAGCAGTCAACTGTGGCACTGGGGTGCCCAGGCCTGGTGCCGGTTGCACCATCAGTAACTGCGGCACCGGGGTACCCTAGCCCGGTGCCGTTTGTGACGCCACCATCTGCGGCACCAAGGTGCTCAGGGTCGGTGCCGGCTGCAACGTTTGTGGCACCGGGGTGCGTAGGCCCGGTGCTGAGTGGGTCGCGTGAAGTTGCGGCACCGGGGTGCCTAGGCCCGGTGGCGAGTGTGACGTGATAAGCTGCAGTACCGGGGTGCCCATGCCTGGCGGCGATTGCGCTGCACCGTTTGTGGCACCGGGGTGCCTAGGCCCGGTGCCGAGTGCGTCGCCAGTAACTGCGGCACCAAAGTGCTCAGGCTCGGTGTCAGTTGCGATGCCTGCAGTTGCAGCACCGGGGTGCTTAGGCCCGGTGCCGGCCGCGTTGCCAGTAACTGCAGCACCGAGGTGCTCGGGCTCGGTGTTGGTTGCAATGCCTGGAGTTGCGGCACCAGGGTGCCCAGGCCCGGTGCCAGTTGCGCCGACTGAAGCTGCGGCACCAGGGTGCTCAGGCCCGGTGTCGATAGTGTGGCCAGCAGCTGCAGCACCGGGGTGCTCAGGCCTGGTGCCGATTGTGTGGCCAGCAGGTATGGCATCGAGGTGCTCAGGCTCGATGCCGACTGAGTCGTGCCCGACTGAAACGGTACCGGGGTGCCCAGGTCCGGTACCGGGGTAGACCGCTGGGTCGATGCCGGTGCCGATGACGGCACGGAGACAGACGCCGGCCAACTCCTGGGAGGCCACATGGCCATGGGGGTATGGCACCGGTACGGGCAAGCGGGGCTCTGGCAACTTGGAGAGCAACGACCTGCCATGGCTCGACACTCCCTGAGAATGACGATTCGGCGTCGTGAAGGGTGCCGTAGTAGTAGCGGGAACCGACCCCACCGGGGTTGGTCCCGACACTAAAACCA